CCTCCATCTTATGAAATGCGCTTAATACGGAAATTGATCTGCTGCAACTCGGTGCATCTCATTGGCTCATTGTTGTTGATCTTCAATTAGGACCAACGTAATTACTAAAAACATTTACCCGTTTGCCCCGACGTTTACCTGTTTTTGCATTAAGGATACACCCTACCGTAATTACTGAAAACATTTTATGTGATCTCAACTTTCATACATTATGTTGTGGGTCAGTGTATCTCTCGTAACAAGGAATGGATGAGCCCACCCGCCATATACGAGTTGTTGCATTAGGGGCACACTTCATCACAATTACTGTCATCCCGATATATGAATCCAGGTAAATAAAAATAATAAGGGGCCATTTACCAAACGTTTACCGGCAAGAATCACCGTTCTCACTTACCTTATGGCATAACATTCTCAACCATTTAAGCGTTTATTACCCGGTAAGCGTGTATGACTCGATCATTATAAAAATGATGTTAAATAGTTTTAAAATCATAATTATAAATCGCATGAGACTCATCTTCTTGATCAATTTACCAAATCAATTACGAAGTTTTGAGGGAATTACAAATTTTGGTCCCTTTAGTTTGCCAAAATTTAGATTGAATCCCTCAAACACATTAATTACAGTGTCGGTTTGCATTTCATTAGATCCCTCTCACCAACACATGCCTCATGTGCCAACATGAGGAGCAATTTCGTCGGGTTCCTGTTCTTGTTCTTCGTACAAACAATCGAATTCATATCACTGCGTGAAACTTGTGCATTTTTTTTAAATCTAAAACAAAAACAAAGAATAAAAACCCTAAATCTTTATGCAGAGACAAAAGGGGAGGGTTTTTATAGAAAAATAAGGAGCATTTTTCATTCTTCCTTTTATCTTGGCAAAACCCATTTCCAGTACTGTTATCATCTGATTTCCATAAATCAAAACCGAAGCTTCTTCTTCCTTCCTGATCCTTTCAATCGAACAAAACAATGGTATCTGCTAAAAGTGGGTAGCAACAGGCCTAAAGCAGCCACAAATGATCTATATTTTGGACTTAACTAGTTTGGAAATGGTTCCACTTTCCCCAGCTTTAAATTTTAAATCTAGTCTGCTTTTGGCCCTAAACACCAGGATTTCACAATTCAATATTGATGCACAGCAAGTAAAAATCACAGGAATTCATCTACCATCCTTACACATAATTATAAGGTGCTGTGGGTATCATGATCAAGAACATTACAATGATATAAAAACTTGCAACGAGTGATATTCTTGGGTGTCTGATAATAACTGCAAATTTTACTTTTTTTTTGACAATTTTTCAAGCAGAGCTTACTTATTTGCAAATCTTTATCATTACATTCACAATCCTAACTTTGGTTGAAAAGATTCCTGCACTTTGTGAATCTTGACAGTGTTTTAGATATTTGGCTAAATATTATATCTTGTATTAGATCGAGTGTACACAATCAAACCTTACATATTTTGTGGATGGAGGGTCGAGTCCTTAATCTTATGAACCAGTCACTGGTTGCATATGGCAGTTAATCTTTCATTTGAGGAAGTTGTAATTTTCAATAATCTAACATTTTGTAAAGTGGATTTCTTTTGATCTGATATATCTATATCTATACTACCTTAAAGCAGATTTTTTTAAAGTCTTAAAGACAACTTTTTAAACATGAAGTACAACATTTATATGCAGGTTTTTTTTCCTTTATCACAGCCCTACGATGCCGATTCCCAACCCCAAGACGACGATTCATACCAAGATGCAGGGTTTTTTATCTATGGTGCTCCACTCTCGGTTTCCCCTAAACGCTCTTGCTCCTCTTGATGAAGACACGAATCAGGCGCAGTTTCCTCTTGCTCCTCTTGACAAAGACACAAATTAGGTGTGGTTTCTGTAATTTCTTGTTTCAATCCTGTTGAAATTATTATTTTTGTTATATAATTTGTTGTTCATCCTGTTGAAATTATCATTTTTGTTATGAAATTACTTGGATTCTGGTTGATCCATCCCGTTGAAATTATCATTTCTTTCTTTCTTTAGTCTGTGTAAATACTAATCACGTGGTTGATCCATCCAGTTATTCTTCTTGAGATGGTTACTGGTTGAACTCTGAGCTTGTGAATTATTCAATCTTGCTAATGTTACTACTAATGAATCAATGGAGAAAGTTTTAGATGAAGTTTGGTTTTTATCAATATGTTTTGGTTATAATCAGAGAATATATATATATATATATATATATATATATAGGGTTGGGTTCACGTGAGACCAGGGTTGTTTTCGTGAGACCACTTTTTTACACTTGAAACATCACAGTAAAACGCTATGAAAGAAAAAAAAAATCCGAACCTTCACAGCAAAAACACTGTGAAGGTTACCTTCACAATGTTCTGCTGTGAAGTTTCAAGTGTAAAAAATGGTCTCACGAAAACAGACTGGTCTCACATGATCCCAAGTCTCTCTCTCTCTCTCTCTCTCTCTCTCTCTCTATATATATATATATATATATATATATATATATATCTTTACTCCATTCGATTAATTGGTACTAGAAGTTTGATATCCTTTTCTGTTTGAAGACAAGGAGTTCACTGTATGGTTTTTCCCTATGGTTTTACCATATTTAGATTATCTTTTAACTTATAGGTTGTTCCATATTGTTGATCATTTGATTCTAGAAGTTGGATTCAAGCATATTGTTGATCACCAAAATTGGTTGTAAACTTATTGGTTTAAACTAGCCTTTCCAATTTAGAATTCTGGGATAGAAGCATGTTCTTGGTCATTGATTCTAGATGTAAGCTTCTTGTTTCTTTCAACCAATTACAAATACAATTTCTTTTCTGTCATGTATTTGGGTAACTCCTTCTTCGGGGTTCATATGTTTGTTTGTAAAGAAAGCCATCAACCTGTGGAACTTGATAGAATCAATCAGCCTCTTCTCAAACAACGTTATCAGGTTTGTGTTCTTCTAGGTTTTATTTATGACCTGCTTGTTATACTCGATTTCTTTGGGGTGTATGTTTGTTTGTAAAGAAAGCCATCAATCGGAGAGAATCGAATAAGTAACCTCCTAAACAGAATCAGGTTTGTCTCCGCTTTTGATATTTGTTTACAAGCTGCTTGATTTTTTACTGCAATTTTTCTTCTTTTTTGTTTATGCCCTCGGTGGAGCTTGAAAGAATCTATCGAGTAGCCTCCTCTCAAACGACAGTATCAGGTTTGTCTTTGTTTAGGTTTTTGCTTACGACCTACTTGATTTTGTACTTCTTTTTTAATTCTTTGTTATTAATGCCCCTGTTCGATTTCTGTGTCTTCTTTATTATTGTTTATTATTTTTTGCTTTGGATTTGTAATTATAGCTTTTAGGAACGAGGGTACACATGTACTGTATAAGCATTTGGTGTTGGTATTTGATTGTTCTATTCTTCTCTCACATTAGTAAAGTCTTAAATACAACCCAAAATGCATAAGGTGCTGCTTTTTTATGCATATTTTTTGAAGATCTCTTGAATAAAAACCTCTACTATTCTTTTGTTTAGTTTGATATGCTTGTGTGTTCATTGAAACCGAGCTCTGTTGTTTCGATAGCCGGAAGATATATCAATAAGGGGTATTAGATTTGTTAGATCGGCCTCTCGGGTATATGTTGTGATTTTGCATAAAGATTGTTGTTTTTGTTTTGACGTGGTACATGTGATTATGCATTAAGATATATTGTTCTCTATTGGCCATTGTTGAAGGTTACCACTCCTGGTTACCATATGCCTTATGGCAGGTTAACAAAGCGGGCACAATGTCAGGGTGGAAATGGAAGCTCTGATGCATATATAGAGCTTAGAACTTCAAGATTATGGCAAACTGGAAAAAGTCACACATATCTAGGAAAATAAATTGGAAAATTGCTGATCATTTAAAAGTTAGGATATTTAATTTTCGATGTAGCTTCACTTTCATTCTCTTATCTGTAGCTCTGTTCTGAAGATTCAAGCAAAGTAATGGTAATTAGCATGGATTCCCACATCAAAATTCTTCATGGGATCAATGTCATTGGTAAATATAAGGGTATTTATATAATCATTTGTTGTTTCTCTGTTATCAATTCATTGGTGTTTTATGATCATTGCTTGTGTACTATAATTAATCGTTGTTTACTTTTGTATTTCTTTATACCACTAGGCCAACGAAATGCTGGAAATTAACCAGTTCTATGTAACGTTCACCTCAGACTGGAAACACATTTTCAGCATGGAGGATTCTAACATTTATATCTGGAACTGGAACCTTCGGTTTATCAACAAAAGATGGTTTGGTCTTCAAGTGCTTCTCAACTGACACCTCAGTTGTGTTACCTTGTCTGTTCTGAAAGTTAGTACTAGACAGTTAGGATTCTATAGTTTATATCTATGGCATGTACAGCAGACGTAATTTTGCATAGAAGGTGTTCTTCATTATAGAATCCAAAATGTAGCCATGGATGTAGGTTGAGCATTCTCTCGTGTTATGGACTGTGATAGAGTCAATATGGTTTTGTTCTGAGTTGGGTTGTGGGTAATCTTCTTTTATGCTTATCATTATTTCTATGTAATTGTTCTTATTTAAACAGCTTACGATTAATGAAAATTTATAGTTTTCATTCTCTCCAATTTATTGTCTCTTTAACATAATTAGATTATATTGGATTGATATTGTAATTAGATTATAGTTTGTTTTATTCGATTTGAACTATCATACAATTTTTTATTGATGTTGTAATTGGTATTTATTGAAAAAGCATTAACTTGTACAGACTAATTGCAAATCCTATCTTCATAATGTCTTAAAGTCTACTTAAAAAGCCACCAAGCTTCAAAATCATTTACATTCACCTCCCAGTCGCATTGTGCGGGTACACAACTAGTTCTTTTATATAGGCAAAGGCATACTATTAGAATTTGCAAAGAAGTTGAACATGAAGCATAATATTCTCCCAAATAGCCTGGAAAAAAATAAATCAATTGTGGCATTAGGGAACATCAAATTCAATCTTTATCATTCTACTATCACTCATCTTACACTTGTGTTCACAATAAAAGACTCTAGATATGTCCATGAATCTTTACTATAATATCTTGTCCGTAAATAGTTTCTACTGAACATGTATTCTAAGAAGGCATTGAAATTTATAGACAAAGAAAAACAATGTAAAAATAAAAACATTTCCAACAGACTATTATACAGCCAATGCACCTTACATTTTCACAAGTGAAACTCCAACGGGTTGCCTGGAAGATAATCTCTTGGGCTGATCAGACCAGTATGCCACCCTCATTTCATCCATCTAACCCCTCCATCTTGGACTTGAAACAGAGAAAAATCCTGGAGATAATGGAAAACCGATGCCAGGAGAAGGTGGAGGTTGAGGTCCAGGGCCCAAGATTCCTGGTTGAGCCATGGGTGAAAAGGGAATATTTGGTGTCAGTGGTGGAGGATGCTGATATCCAGGAGATAGCAGAGGGTAAGGTGATCGAGGAGATGACAGATTCAAGTAACCAGAAGGCGATGGCAGAAGAAACTGGGAAGTGGGTGATGGTAGAAGTGGAGGATAGCCTTTACTTCTAGGAGACGCAAGAGGAAGCCCATTCCCATTCCCATTCATTCTTGGAGATGGAAAAGGAGGGGGGCCATTTGTTCTTGGTGATGGAAGAGAAGCCACAGGTGGGTAAGGAAGCAATCCAGATGATTGCTGCTGCTGAACATGCATATGACTTCGAACTTGCGGATGTCCTTGGGGTGAATCATTGATGGAATTCTGAAGGTAGCGCATGTAAGATGATATAGGAGACTCTGCAGTATTTGCCCACCCTGTATGATTACCAGAACCAAAGGGTGGCTGTGATGGTGGTGGCACCATGGTCCTTGGAGGCGGTTGACCATATTGAGCAGGTCTAGGTGTAGGTCCATGTTGTGGGGGCATCTGGGGTGCAGGATGAATGACCATTCTAGGCCTGTTTACACTTATGGGTGATAATGGTGGAGGACGAATTCTTTGCAACCTCATGCTAGGGGATTTAGGTGGATTCTGGGGAGGAGGTCTAGGAAGTGGTTCTTGAGAATGGTGTGAAGGTGAACCAGTAAGCTGTTGAACAATATTTCTAAAATCATTCTTGTTGATGTTGTAAACCTGAGGTTGAGACTGTTGCCTAGCTGGATTAGCGAAACTTGGTTGATGCAATGGACTCTTTCTAATATTCTTCCCAATCTTGTTGACACCCAAATGCTCGTTATGCCTATTTCTAGAATAATCTGAATTATCCATTCCACAAATCTTTTACGAAACACACGGGAATTTCAAACCATCTCAGTTTTTCTAGTAGGATTAGCAATCGCAAGTCAATAAAGAATGATCGTCGGAACTGAACAAGCCGATCGATCAATCGATGAAACCCTAAAATACAATCAAGGAAGATAAAGAACGCACCTAGCAGATGAAATTGAACAACAGAAACCCTAGAAGATGAAGAAGACGTTATAGTCGCAGAAAGGAATTTAAAGAGGAGTAGTAATTGACTTACGAGTGAAGAAGAAATTGCGTAAGGGTTGAAAATTCCATCAACAGACCGAATCAAATGGTTGAAAAGTAGGAAGAAATAAAACAGGAGAGTGACGGTAACGCAGCGGCTAATTTGGGAATCAACGGCCGAAAGAATCGAACATCCGGCCCATGAGCTAAACTCGAACACCCGACCCGACCCATTTTCATGCTTTAACAATTTCTTTCTTATTATTGTAAATGATAATGCGTAGGCTATTGGCATTGGTTCTGGTGGGTCAAAACAAGTGAAGCCCAATACGCTTTTAGCCCATGTACATGACTAAAAATTTAATTTCTATTGAAAATAATATGCGGTGGTCGAATGATAACAAGTGGCAAAGTTTTAAATGACGTCAGGAATGGTGTGACAGTGACGTCAAATTTCAAACTTTAAACAGTTATGGTGAAGTTATTGTGTATTTTAAGGCGTGTCCTAAGACGACATGTGTATACGTATAACCATTTATGTCAAATATATAAAGCTTATAGGGAAATTGAAATCAATAGTGCAAAATGTGGATTAAATCTTTTGAGTCTCTAGTCACTATTTTCATCAATCTTGAAAGAATTCTTATTTGGCTCTCTTTCACGAGAATAAGAGTTAGAATTTACCTATTTAAGGTTTTAGTTTCAATGTTTATTTAAATCTTATGTGGTATAATATTTTCAAACCAACCGTATCAGATATTGTCGCTTTGTCCATACATCTGGACTCACAGTTTTAAAAAGTGTCTGATAGATGAGGTATCAAGTCCCTTATAGAACAACCTCGATGGCACACCAGTCCAGTTATCGACTCTGATACAATTTATAACATCTAAGACCAACCATAAAATACAAACGTACAAATACATAAACCATTTATTAATTGTAAAAAACAAATACAAAACTCCCTTCCATTCATTGTCTTTCTCATCTCATCCCACCATCCTCAACGCCCTCCCCTTCGGCTTCCTCATCACATCTAACCATGATCTTCGACCTACGACCTCTTCCACGGTTCCACCTTCTCTAGATCTAAAAAAACCCAGCCATACTCATTTCAAATCTAGATCTAGAAACTTATTTTGAATCCTCAATCCGCTGCACCTGCCTTACTTTATATACTTGTACCATGTGCCTCCAAATCTGTAAAAATAAAATAATAATTAAATAAAGGTTAAAACTGCAAAAATACCCATCATGTGAGAGGCATATGGATGTTTAACCGACTGATCTTAAACATCGTTAGGATAAGGGACCCAATTCATAACAAAAATAAAACTATAGTGACCATCATCAATGTAATTACTTCATTTGAGGGACCTAATTCCAAATATTCATATAAATACAAGGACGAAATTTGTAATTTAATCAAAAATTAGTATAAATTTGTGGATTGAAGAAAATAGAAAAATGGGGTGAGAGAGGCTCGAACTCTCGACCTCAGGATAACTCAGAAGCTATGAGACCTACGCGCTAGCCAACTGCGCCACCACCCCTTTTGTGTTTTATATTTTGATAATTAATTAAAATAACATAATAATTCAAATATTTCAAAAATATAACTGCTATTCAGGAGGCTTTAAACTATTATTGTTAACAAAGAAATTTTGTACGACAAAAATTGAGAGTCTAACTTGGTCAAAGAATAATAAAAAAAGAAAAAAAAAACAGTTACTAAAATTATATACGGAGTAGCAAAATTCAAGGATTTGAAACTATACTTAGATACGAATTTAAAACGGAGTTGTTATTTAGAGACGTTGGTGTGGATCGGTAGGGTTGGGAACTCCCATCTCGTTATTCAATTTCTTGATCTTTAATTTCCATCTTTATCCACCATGTCGTACCAACATTAATCTTGAAACGATACATACATACATGTAAATATTAACATATCCATTTCTTCTCTTCCTTCTTCCTACATTTTCTTCCCGTCCCTTTAAAACCTTTCATCTCTGTCATTCATGAATCATGAATCTGATATGTTTAGGCTGTCAGACCATTCCCAGAACAACTTCAAGCAATGACATCAGAGAAGGATGTGAGGATGAACTTGGTCAGTCTCCCCCTACCCTGTTATTATTGGGTCAACGTGGTTCTCCGTCAAAATTGGCTCGTGGACCATCGACATCCAATAAATTAAGAGATGATCAAAATATGATTATGGGTTTGCCGGCAAAACCAGTATTGCATAAAGACAAGAGCATTAAATGGAAGGAGGTCAATAACGATGCTTGTAAGCCAAGGTTAACGAGAAGTAGCGGGATGAGAAGAGATTGGAGCTTGGAGGATCTAAGACAACTAATGAATACCGCATGACAAAAAAAAATAGAAAAAGAAATATCATATGACAAAATTATGAAATACGTGGGTATGATTTAATAGAAGACATTTTATTAGTTTGATCTCGTCTTTTTATTTATTTATTGTTTTCATGATGTGCTTATTTTGATTTTGAACGAATAGAACCATAACCTTCATCACCAATATTTGTTTCATTTTATTTCATGAACAAATTACATGATAACGAAGACGATACGTAAATAAATAATCGCATGTTATACATTCGATAATCCCGTTAAATTTTGATGAAAATATGTGAATTCATATGTATAAATAAATTAATCGAAACACATAAATTTAAAATATCAAATGAATATTCATAAAATTCGAAAGTCATTATTTTAATTTAATGATTTTTTTTATAAAATTCTTGTTCATATTATGAACTAATATTTATAAATAAGCAAATTACATGAAAATATGACATACTTAGTTTTGATTCTTATTTTGATTAATATACTTTTAAAACATTCATTTTGGTAAATGAAATATAAAATATTAAACTTGTAAGTACCTGACTTGATGGATAGGATAATATACTTCCAAAACATTTTCAGTTATAAAAATGGATTACTGATAATATGTTACATAAAATATAAGTTGAACTAAAATACGTTATTTTCATGTAATTTGTTTTTAATGTATCAACGAAAAATTCTTATAAAATTTGATTTGAAAAAAAAAATCCATTTTAAAATAAATTTTAAATGATATCTACTTTCTCAACAACTCATGTCCATGCTTTTAAACATAATCAATTGATCATATAATGTTGACTAAATTATGCATTTGGTCCTTGTAGTATGCATTTTTTTATGAAAATGATCCTTATACTTCCTTTTTTACGTAGATTACTTCATGGTAGGCAGTTTTTCATAGATTTGATCATGGGACCAAATGGCCGTCAACACCCTCGTTAAGTTTGAGGGGGTTAGGGGTAGTCATTGAGAGACAATGGGAGATTGTGTCTAGAGATGGAAGGTGTGGCCTATAGGGGTGGTGGTGGAGACTCGGGGACAACGATGTGGAAAGGGTTTTGCCGGAAATGTGACTGGTTCGAAGGAAAGGATGTAGTTTAGAGGTAGGAAAAAGCAGTGAAAGATATTTCTCTTTGGCCTTATAAGTTATAATGTATACATTTTGACCCCTGATATATAAAAGTTAATTAAAAATGTTGAAGTAAAGAAAAAATGGAAAAAGATCATTTAGCTCTCTGAGTTTAACGTATTTGGTAAACGGTGCCAGTTAAAAGGACAAAATCCGTGAAGAACTACATACCCAAGATGTTCCACGAAATAAATGAAATCTAACGATTATACCCATAAAAACCTGCATGCCACATGGACCAAATCCATAATTTACTCTATAATATACTGTATAGAATATTAACAAATTCTAAATTTTTTTATCAGGATATTTTTCAATTTTTCATTTTTTTTACGGTTTTTCCCTAAACTTGACCTTATACATTAAAATATTTTGAAAGGTCAACAATAGTGTTCATATATTATTTTTCTTTGTCATAATGAGCATTTATGAAGGGTGTATGAAGTTCTCAATAGTAAATATTTTCATTAACATTTATAATAATTGCATCTATGAGTCATAACTTAAATTATTGATTCTTTAGGTTACAAAAACAATTAAGTTTTATTATATTATCATCGTTGAAATTTATTTTTTTGAAACGTAAACCAGTTTATTACCAGCCAAAAACAATACAACAAAGAAGTACACCGTACGAAGCAAAAAACCACGCCCATCGACAGTTCGCGAGAAGCAAACCAACAACAAGTAACGAGAACAACAAACGCAAACCTCACCAGCATAACCCATGCACAGGCAATCGACAGACATGATTGTTGAAGATTTGTGTTCTATCATGAAGAAGATGTAACACTAGATCGGTGTCTTAATAAGGTTTCGATAAAAACTCTATCTTTTCTGACTTGTATGTCTCTAGACAACCATAATTAAGATCGTTTCAACTCTCCCGTATTTTATCTCCCTCGTATTTTTGTTAATATTTGAAAGTGCTTAATACGATTCATATATTACCATTCTTTGTCTTTACGAACATTTATAAGGAAGTACGAAAGTCTTAATAGTAAATACTGTATTTTTTTAAGAGTCATGAAGGCATGTGTTCAAATGATAAAGAGTAGGCTTTGAAATAATAAGAATGGTACTATATATATATATATATATATATTAAAAAAAATATGCTTCTGAGTTTTCCTTCAATAATTGAAGTGTGAACACGTATTTTTATGATGTAGATGATGTCATTGAGCATAGAAACTCAAAATCTCCTTCTAGAACTAAGATGATATTTTCTATTGATGTTTTATTCCTTTTCATTATTTTTTTAATTTTATTCTGTGTCACCTAAAAGTAATACCGTCCATCCATATTTACATAATCAAAACGCATAAAAGTAATTAAATTTCTTAATTGAGTCATCCATCATAAATATATATATATATATATATATTTACGTAAATAAATTTGTAAAAAAAATCTTATATAAACATAAAATCAACAAGAGAAATCATTCAAACTTGTAAATCTTACTTGAATTACCTAAGATCGAACCCACCCACTCACCCTCACACACACACATATCTATATATACATGAGACTCCGATATAAGAGAAATTCCCAAAAACTTACTTTATCTAAAAATTCAGTATTCAATAGTAAATGTATTTGTAAAAAGGATGGAAGGAATTCATATGGGTAATGGTTGACCCTACTTTCTAGTTTTTATGATGTACACTAAAAATATAACCACTTGGAATTTAATTAGTAGTGGAGCCTGAATAACCAAACGTGTGTCTTTTCTTTTGGTAGCGACATCTTTTTTTCTTTTCTTTTTATGGCCGGTGGCCTTCCTTCCACCATTCTTTATGCCTACACGTTTATTCCATGTGCTTCTTTTTTTAATTTAAATTACATTTTTTAATTTAATTTCTAAATTTCAGTTTTCATTTTCATACTTATTATCTTAAACAACTCTATTAAATAAAAAGAAAAAAGTGTAGGCCCCACAAAGAAATTACATGTTATGTCCATATAAAACACATCATGTTTCATATACTCCAAAATGAGACATTCATTCATAAAAAAATAAAAATCAGGTATCATATCTGTCTCCTTCAGATCCCATTCATCATGTAATTACCCAACAAATCAAATTGTATTTGATTTAACATAGAGAACGGTTTAAGGTTCTCATTTTTATAACACACGATTACACTAAAACATACACTTAATTAAGACTAATTACTTACTATCTTACATTCGAATTGCTAGTCTAGCTCGCAAAAAAATCAGCCATTAATTGGAAAACCTGTTTGTTAAGGCCAATCGGAGCTGATCTTGAGTAAACAACCGCCCACCCATTTTCACCGTGGCTTGTTGGATCATCAACTCATTCACCACCGACACACTCGCATGGTTCACTTCTAAGTCCAGATCTTTCAATGCCGCCATTAGCCGGGCAGCAGGGTGGCTTTTCTTGTTACATTGGATCCTAATCATGGCGTCCCAACCGATGACCTTCACGTCTACGTCCAAATCCACCATTTGGCCCGACATTTTCATGTCTTCCGGTAAGGAGATGGCGGAGGAAGATGATTGCCGGGAGTCTTTGTTCAGTAATTCTTTCTTTAATGCATCCAGTTGGTTTCGGAGTTCTTCTTTGTCGCATTGGGTGTTTTCCAGCTTTGATTTGAGTTCGTTGATGTATAAAATGGCGTCGCCGAGGAGGGACGCTTTGTCCATTTTTGAGACGTTTGGGACGACGGCGCGTAGGGCGTAGAAACGCTGGTTTAGCTTCTCTCTCCTCTGTCTCTCTGCTTCCACGTGATTCAACGGCTCTTCTCTGCCGTTCGCCGGTTTTCGTCCTCGTTTTCGTGGTCGTTTTTCCGGTTCCACCACTCTGCTACTCTCCACTTCTCTCACCACCGAAGCGTCGAGATCTGAGTGGTCAGAATCCGCTCCGGTTAATACGCCACCACCGGATTTCACGGTACTAGCTGACGGAAGCACGCCGGAGATGAAAGAAAGCATTCCGTCTTCGTTACTGCCGCACGAAGCCGGAGATCTCTTCTTCTTGTTATTGTTGTTGTTATTCTCCTCTGCTCCTCCGTTAAACTGCGACTGACCGGAGAAGAAACCTCCGTTGTTGGTAGAACTCCTCTTACTCTCGCCGAAATTCAGGAGTTTGCCGGATTCCGGTTTACTATATGAAGAGTTCCCGTTTCTGCCACCGAAATTCAATTCCCTGCCTCCAAAAAATCCTTGATTTTGTACGGAATCACGATCATGAACGGATCTAGGGTTTTCAGGTAAGGAGCTAGGGTTTTCAAAAGGTACATGTTTCGGAACCTGATTTGATGGAATGACGTTTGTCGTCTGAGATCCAATTCGATCAACGGTATCCTTGATTGCCGTGACCTCGGTAGTCACCGTCGATGACGCTACCGGATCTGTAAGCCAAATCGACGACGGATCATTATCACCTCCGGCAGCCTGATCTGTGTTGATTTGCATCATATCAGGGCCGTTATTGAAATTAAACGAAAGCCTAACTTTCTTCATCACATCTGAATTCTGAAAAATCAACTCCGTGGAACCTAATTCAATGACCCCATCGGTAGCAGGGATACACACAATCGTCTGCAGTCCAAAACCTTGACCATGACGAGCTCGTTCGCAGTGAGATGCCATCAACCGGTCCCGTCCGGCAACCCAGACCGATTGATTACTGAAAGCCGCCTGACCGGGAAGTCCGTTGCCGTTGACAAACGATTGCGTCATGGATATGAGGAAGAACCATTCTGTATCAGTAACTTCTTCATCTACAGCATCGCTTTCCGGCGCCTGTGAGCCGGAGATCAACGAATTGAGCTCCCGGAGCACTTTCTTCCGGTACTGTTGCTCAGCCAAAGAAGTCTCCGACGGTTTCGTCTTAGGTTTGTTGACCTCCCCCTTGTAGTATCCATCTCCCCAACCTAACACCGGAGAACCAGTGTAATCGACAACGGAGGACTGCCAGAAGATAGCGTAAGTCCATGACTCCCTTGCCGTATCAATTAACCCCTGGAGTCTTTGCTGTAAAGTATCCTGATTAAATTCGTTGTGGATCTTGTGAGGACCGTTGGCGGAGGTGGAAGCAGATGAGGAGGCCGGTGGAAGGGCGGTGGTCGGCGTATTGGTATGAGAAGTAGCCCCCCAAATGGAGGTCATATCGGAGGTGATAAAGGCATCCATCATGGAGGCGTTTTCTTCTGGAGTCCAGTGATTCATGGTGTGTAGCCTGTAATCCGTCATACCATAAAGGTATGCCAAGTGGTGGGGGTGGGGGTGGTGGTGGTGGTGGTGGCGATGGCGGCGGATATGCCAAGTGTGTGTGAAAACGTGGAAGAAAGGACGGACAGGAGAGGAGATGAGAGGAGAAGAGTGGAGTGGAAATTGAGGATTGAATGAGAGGCGATGGGTATTTGTTTGATAAGAGAGTTGTGGTTTCTACTTTCTAAGAAGGGTCGGATTTATGCCACGTTTTTACTCACCCGCGTTATTTCATAATAATATGGACTTCACTGTAGCCTAACAATATATTTATTATATAATTATGAATAAGACAAAGGATATGTTTGATGTTTCAACGTGCCTTTATTATAATTATTGCAATTTTATCTTGTGATAATTAGAGTAAACTACAAGTTTGGTCCTTGTGGTTTATCAAAAACAAAATTTTTCATAATTATTGCAATTTTATCTGATTTTTGTAACGGATGTTAAAAGATTTTGTTACATGAATGGTTATTGTTATTTTTATCAATTTATTTGTCATTTATTCAATCAAAATTAATTTTATCATTTTGGTCCTTGTGGTTTTTGATTAGGTTAAGAACTAAAAAAGGAACAAAAGGACAAAATTGTGTCGTAATTTTCTTACAGATATTTCTAGGAATGATCAAATGTGGACGTTTTTGTAAACCACAACGACTATCTTATTATTATGAAACAACAAGGATAAGAAGTCTTATTTTTGATAAACTATAAGGACCAAATTTATAGTTTAAATTGCTTAGTCTTAATTTGATAAAATGTGTCATTTTTTTAATATCTTCAAAAGTTACATTGAAACATATAAACTAAAGACTCTATGGATTTTACTTTTAGAACTTTATTTAAAAATAATTATTATTATATTTACATAACTATTAGGGTGCGTTTGGTGCGCAGACAGGACTGGACAGGACAGGACTGGACAGGACAGGACAGGACGGGACAGGACAGGACAGGACAGCTGTTCAGCGTTTGGTAAGACAGGACAGAGACAAGATAGAACTGGTTAAAATGACCAATTTACCCCCAGTGAGCTGTTTAGTATTTTTTCACTACGAAATGCATTCTGATAACACTGGTCCTA